GACAACACGCGGTGCACTGCGTAGCAGTTCCTGTTTGGAAATTTAGTACAGATCGTCTAATGGGTGATACATGAAGTGGACCTGGTACTGTCTGTTGCGTCCCTTCCCTGCGTGTTGTGTGATCCTGTCTATCTCATGCCCGCCTTTGATCGCGCGAGGGATCATGTCTTCGTGATAATCGAATGTCTTAGCATCACGGTGGAGGTACAGTTTGGATGCGTTGAACATGGGGTATGTGCGCAGATGGGCTGGCACATCAATGACGTACGAAGGGCCAAAGTGATTTTCACCAATCACATCCAAAACTTCCCAGGGCCCGTAATAGAGAGGGAGAAGTTTGCGTGAGACTCCCTCTTCTTCTGAGAATTCAGACATCTTGACCCAGACATAGCTCCCTACCTGAATATCCGACGGTCGACGCTTCTTGTTCGCATTATGGATCATGGCGTGCTGTCGCTTGGTCATAGCTGCAATGGCAACTTTGAGCAAGCGATCATACTTGGCCCTGAAGCCAAGTCTGCCGGGTGTTAAACCAGCTGGCTGCTCAGGGAATAGGTAAGACTCTGAGAGCGGATTTCGGATCTGCCAACCGTAATGCAGCCTGCTGGGTGTCATGCGAGTGGCGGAGTGGAACGAGTTGTTGTATAACCCCTTAACGGAATACAACTCTTCATCCCATGTTTCCTGATCCGGGATAATCGAAGTGCGAAGAAGTTGAAACACTGTCTGGTTGATCTCCTCAGCCAAACCGTTGGCTTCGGGGTGTCGGCCAAAAACAGCGATTTCGTCAAAACGGACATTTTATATTTTTTGAACGAAATTGAAATTGTCATACACAGCTTGATCCCAGTTGAGACGTGAAATCCCTCCACTCAGTACACAGAATGTATTTCTGTTGGAACTCACGAATTACTAGTTTTGTTGGGGCGTGAGGCGGCAAAGGGATCAGGTTGAGGAACTTAGATAATCGGTCAACAATCACCATGACCTGTGAATAGTCATTCTTGCTTACCTTTCCTGTATCGGTGAAGTCGATGGAGACAGACTCCCACGGACCATCGGGAATGGGTAGGGGTGTGAGTAGCCCCATCGACTTTTGTCTGCATGGTTTGATTCGTTGACAGACTTGACATTCGGCCACAAACTTTTCAGCAATCCCTTTTATGCGAGGCCAATCAAACTGTCTCAACAAATTTGCGTACGTTTTTGCCATACCGAAATGTCCGCTCCGGCCATGAGCCAAATCCAAAAAAGTGCGTGCGGAGAGGCTCATGGTTGGGGACACACAAACGGTCGTGGTTCCCGTAGCAACGAAAAATCAGTCCTCCATACTCGTGAAAATCAGGCTGACTGCTAGGGTCAGCCCGTAGCCGCTCAAGGATGGAACTCAACTCCGGATCCTTGGCGGTGTGCTCTACGAGCTCTTCCTACAGTTTCTTCTGGAGGTCGTAAGCTTTGACAAGGCAAGTCATGTACTCAGGGTGGCGAGACAATGCGTCAGCGACTCGATTATAACAGCCCTTTTTGTGTCTTAACTCAAAATCGAAAATGTCAATCTCATGGAACCAGCGAAGCAAGGTAGGGGACAGGGTAGTTTGCTGTTTGATCCACTTCAGAGTCTCATGATCTGAGAAGACTTTGAAGCGGCGTCCCAAAAGATAGTGTTTCCAATGGTCCAACGCCATACGCAAAGCATAGAGCTCGCGCATGTAGGTGGAAGTGACTACCTTTACGCTGGGCATGAGTTTGCTGTAGTACTTGAGTGGCCGCAAGCCATCGCCGTCATCTTGTTGTAGCACTGCGCCGATTCCATACTGACTTGCATCCGTAGTAACTACGAATTTCAGTTTGGGATCTGCGATGCGGAGTACCGGGTAACTTACCAAGGCCTTCTTCAAGGCTTGAAAGGCGTTCGTGCACGCGGTGTCTCAAGAGCAGGGAACATTCTTACTTGTTAGTCGAGACAATGGACACGCAACAATGGAGATGCGGGGCACAAACTTCCGATAGTATGACGCGAGACCAAGAAAAGAACGCAGTTCGCGAATATTCACGGGCTGAGGCCAGTTGCGTATGACCTCCACCTTGGTTACTTCAGGCTCTAGGCTTGCAGCAGACAACCGGTGCCCAAGATAGATGACACAAGCTAGGTCCATGTACAGCCAGGGGGTCCAGCGTTTTACAAACGCTAGACCCTCAGGAACAACAAATTTTGACGAGTTTTCGGCCAAAAAACTCGGTTTCAATTTCGTTCAAAAAATAAAAGATGTCCATTTTGACGAAATGGCAGTTACATGGTATGAAGGCGTCTTGGCGCTATCGCACAGAGACGAGGCGCCGGGCACCGACATACATGGATGACGAGGAGGGAGGAGAGACAAAGAGGTGGGGGAGAAGGAGAGATGTCATCAACCCAAAATGTCATCAATACCGATCCCAAAACAGTCCCCCACAACGTCGCTGCTCATATGTCAAGTATAAATCTCAATGTCACCAAGTTTCAATGTCGCAAATCTTTCTTTCTCTCTCTCTCTCTCTCTCTCTCTCTCTCTCTCTCTCTCTCTCTCTCTCTCTCTCTCTCTCTCTCTCTCTCTCTCTCTCTCTCTCT